GAATCCATCCAGGGTACCTGGGCCAGGTCAATTAGGAATTTCTGCTCGCTAAAGTGTTTTAGGGAGCGTTTGACAGTGATGAGGGTTGGTCGTTTGACCGCGGACCCGTTACGGACGCAGGCAATAAGGCAGTGATCGCTGAGATCCTGGTTGAAGACAGCGGAGGTGTATTTAGAGGGTAAGTTAGTCAGGATGATATCTATGAGGGTGCCCATGTTTACGGATTTAGGGTTGTACCTGGTAGGTTCGTTGATAATTTGTGTGAGATTGAGGGCATCTAGTTTGGATTGTAGGATGGCCGGGGTGTTAAGCATATCCCAATTTAGGTCACCAAGCAGTACGAACTCTGAGGATAAATGGGGGGCAATCAATTCACATATGGTGTCCAGGGCACAGCTGGGGGCTGAGGGGGGTCTGTAGCAAGCGGCAACAGTGAGAGACATATTTCTGGAAAGGTGGATTTTTAGAAGTAGAAGCTCAAACTGTTTGGGCACAGACCTGGATAGTATGATAGAGCTCTGCAGGCTATCTCTACAGTAGATTGCAACTCCACCCACTTTGGCAATTTCATAGTAATAAGTACAAACTGTCTTACATACTGTATATGTAATGTTGTATTTCCAGTATAGCTAGGCTGTCTCAACAGTGACATGATCAGCCTGAAAGCTGGAGGGAATTGGATTTGAATTGAAATTTATGGAATTGCTGGGTGTAATATTGAATTGTGAATTATAATTGTTTTACATTTACCTAACATTGGAATTGAGAGGAATTCAATTCAGTCTGAATTACAATTTAAATAGTTTTTTGTGGGGGTGGGGGGTGTTGTTGAATTTGTTGAATTGACACAACCCTACCAGATAGTGAATGTTATTGCAAATAATGTTATGTTAACTTACCATCAAAGTCAAAACTGTTATGATTGTTTCGATTAGGCATCACAATGGGTTCTGGTGGGTTATCAACCCAGAGTGCAAAGTGATATCCTGGCGGGATAGTCTGCCTCTTTTTGGATCCTGAATCAAACATATCTGTCCACTTCATTTTCGTTCGAAGGATATCTCCAAATTGAAACTGTAAAAAAATTAATATAGGAAAATATTGCTGTGTAATAATGCTGTAGTTAGTAATTACATTGTGTAAATGAACATGCTGTACATGCTGTTACATACACTTTAACATTGGATTTGTAATTAAATAGTAATGGAGTGAGAGCTGCAACTGGGACTCAAACCATAGTTCAGTGCAGAGGTGAGATTCTAATGGACGTTAGGCTGGGCCTTAAGGTGTAGACAGTATAACACTCACATATACATTTAACGTATGTATTGGTATGTAATACGAGTGAGTGTTATGAAGCAGTTTATATTTAGTTTTAGTGCATTTAGATTAGCCAGCACACTACCACACAGGCACACCTATTCTCCCAGAGGACGTGAAAGGGGCAAGCTCACCATGTTCAAAATTTGTGGCCAAATCACCTCTAAGTAACTTCAAACCAAGTCATTGATTTGAGTTGATTTGGTCATGCCATTTTGAACATGGGGAGCTTGCCCCCTGCACTCCCCTTGTGTTTTGGTTAGCAGTGGCTAAGGTGAGCTCAAGTTAGCAGTGGCTATGTATAGACTAGTGGCAAGGCCCCCAAAATGTGTAGATACCCCTACCCGAGGTATAACAAAACACAACCATATTTTTCACATCTATAATGTCTCTCATTTATGAAAGGGATGGTTGTGATGAAGGCCATTGTAGGCCGAAACATTTATCTTTAACCTTGCTTAAATAAAACAAAACAAAATTATGGTGTGTGAGTGTTGCGCCTTTTCGTTTGCATTTTTCTGCAAAAGTGTTTAAATTGATAGATAGTGTGACACTAAACTCAAAAAGTGCAGAATAATGCCTGTCTGAAGGGGGAACGGGCCACATAAGCTCATGTAACCCAATATTGCAAGCTCTGATGTTGCTCAAATTTGGGATAAAAGTAGTCAGTTGTCTTCCCTTCATACAAAAATAAACAGCACAAGGACATCTTAATTCATCTAGGAAATATAGACCTGTAAACCCATACAATAGGCAGAAATATAAACTATGAATATTTATGATGAATGTAAGATTTACTTTTTGGTAGCTGATTATTAATAGACAACGTTTCTAAGTCAAATGTGCTCTCATTCAGTGCTTTATGGTCTTGCCTGACAAAAATACATACAATTACACATGTTTTTGGATGTTGTGGCTATTGTAATTAGCTCTAATGAAAACAAGTGGGCTCAGACATTGAATTTACATTTTCTTAGGGTTCAAGGTTCCTTGAAGGATTTTGTATCTTTAGCCCTTACTCTTGTAATTAAGTCAGGAGGCAACCATAGATTATTTTTGGGGCCACCCTTGATTTGGCCTCAAATCCAATATGGCTTCCAAAATCCAGTATGGCTGCCATAGTTCCATTTGATGGAGGTTAAATCTCCTGTAAATATGAATTTTTTGAATTGTGTAGAACACTCATGCCCATAAAGACTGTTTTGATATAAGTCATGTGGCGAACAATTTAGAATGAACCGATATCACGAAATGCCAAATATCATACAGACAACCAGACTCAATTCACTTAACAAAGATTTTTTCTATGTTTGTAGTGTTTTTTTGTTAACCTGTTTAGCCAGCCCAGACCCAGTCACCTTTTAGTTTAACCGTTACATACATTTTTTAATAATATTTGTATATGTCTGATAATAAAGTTTGGTGGTTTTGGTTATTACACATGAAAGTGTGAGCTGTAACAGGGACCCAAACGTTAGGCTGGGCCTCAGGGTAGGGGCAGTATAACGCTCACACACACCGGTTACACTGTACTTCCACCAGTGACTATAGTATGTAGCCCCATCAAGCCTGCCTCAAATCACCAGACAACTTATTATGAATATATGTTACCAACACATTCTACAGTAAAGACAATAGCATTATCAATACCAATAATACATTTCTTGCCACTACAAAAATCCCCAAAGATTTTCTAGGCTCCCCCAAGGTCCTTCTATTAGTGTATCCAGGTTACTGGTTACTCCTGGATATCAACAAGAACCTAGCAGAACCCAACCGACCAGTTCCAGAGAGCTCAGAATTATTTTATTCTTACCAGTATTAAACTAAAACCATGTCACTTAATAGACCTTGTAGTGTTGTTTTACCTGTTCATCCGGCCCAGACCCAGTCACCTGTTAGTATAAAAGAGAGACAATTATTTCATAACAAAACAGTAACTATTTATCTTGAAGTGAATTAACCATGCTATACAGGAAGAGTATTGTTTCCTTTTTACATAATAGTGTAGGTTAACAATTTAGAATGAACCGATATCACAATATTCCAAATATCATACAGACAACCAGACTCAATTCACTTAACTAAGATTTTTTCTATGTTTGTAGTGTTTTTTTGTTAACTTCTATAGATTTGTTGTCCCGTATACGGGGCGGTTGAGCTAACGTGCGTTAATGTGATTAGCATGACTGTTGTAAGTAACAGCAAACTTTCCAGGACATAGACATGTCTTATATGGGCAGAAAGCTTAAATTCTTGTTAATCTAACTGCACTGCCCAATTTACAGTAGCTATTACAGTGAAAAAATACCATGCTATTGTTTGAGGAGAGTGCACAACAACAAAAAACGTATCACGGCAACTGGTTTGATACATTCACCTCTGAAGGTAAATGTACTTACATGTACTTACATTCTGTAATCTTTCTCTGATTTGTCATCCTAAGGCTCCCAGAGATAAAATGTAGCATAGTTTTGTTTGATAAAATCAATTTTTATATTCAAATGTAGGAACTGGGTTCTACAGTTTGAACCCCTGCTGTCTCTGGCTCCACACCCACCCTGCCCAGCCATCTAGATGTGTGAAAGTTAGTGTATAAGCTAATGATCCATCCTGTATGACCTTCCTGGGAGTGTGTACAATTTTATTTATTTTAACTAGGCAAGTCAGTTAAGAACAAATTCTTATTTACAATGACGGCCTACACCGGCCAAACCCGGACGACGCTGGGCCAATTGTGCGCCGCCCTACGGGACTCCCAATCACGGCCGGTTGTGATACAGCCTGGAATCGAACCAGGGAGTTTGTAGTGATGCCTCAAGCACTGAGATGCAGTGCCTTAGACCGCTGCGCCACTTGGGAGTCCACTTACATTTTGTATTACCATATATTTTTTGTATGTTCTCTATAGTTATGTACTTGAAAATGTATCAATTGACCAATTCGGCACATTTGGGCAGACTTGATACAAAATAGTCCAGTATTGCAATGCTTTACTGGATCAATCTGAAACTTTGCAAACACACTGCTGCCATCTAGTGGCCAAAATCTAAATTGCGCCTAAACAGCAATATTATATTGTGACCTTTCCCTTGCATTTCAAAGATGATGGAACAAAAAAATAAATAGAAAACACATGTTTATTTGTTTGCATTATCTTTTACCAGATCTAATGTGTTATATTCTCCTTATTTAATTTCACATTTCCACAAACATCAAAGTGTTTCCTTTCAAATGGTATCAAGAATATGCATATCCTTGCTTCAGGTCCTGAGCTACAGGCAGTTAGATTTGGGTGTGTCATTTTAGGTGAAAATTGAAAAAAAGGGTCCGATCCTTAAGAGGTGAATTATTTTCTTCTCACCAGTATTAAACTAAAACCATGTCACTTAATAGACCATGTAGTGTTGTTTTACCTGTTGAGCCGGCCCAGACTTAGAAACCTGTTGGTTTAACCGAGAGACAATTGTTTCATAAAAAAAACTATAACTATAACTAGCATATTTAAATGACTTGCAATAAAAAAACATGTTCAATTAGCCAAGTACTCTAGATAACTTAGAAGACGTTTCTCACTTTTGTTGAATACATACTAACAAGACGGTAAATATCATACTAGTAGATTAGGAGAGGAACCCCTGAATTGTGTGTTTGGAAGTAATGTATTTAAAGTCACTTACCCCTCCTTCAATAGAGGTGGTCAGATGAAAAAGAAAGATGGCCAAAATGAAGATCTGCTTTATTCTCATCATCATGGCAGTCCAGGGGAAATACTGGAAAGGAAAGTATCAGTTCATGTGACTCTGCTGCACTCTACCTTCAGAAGTGTGTTTGGTTTTCATCAGGAAGTTGTTACGGGGAATAATTGGCCTAACTTTCTGTCATTACTGAACTGGTCACACAACAGGACTGTTTATTTCAAAATCCAGTGTAAAAATCCCAGGAACACTGCTATTCAAATCAAACACACGCACAGTGTGGAAAAACATCTGTAATGATTGAATTCCGATTTAAGACTTCAAAACCATAACAACATCCCAAAATACACAGAGGAGTCATGAACATTATGTTCTTGAAAGGCTCGTTTTCTAGCTATAGGGTAGCTTACCACTGGAGTTGGAGTTAGCTGAGAGATCAACTGTAGCAGCTTTGTTAAATGTCAGACAGACAGTGACTGAAACATGAAAGAATAGAATAGTTCATCACAGTAACACAACACAACCTCCAAAAGGAATACGTGGAAATAGATAGTTTTTACAAACAGACAAAAACTTTAAAAATTGTTTTTAAAGCGTTCATACAACTGTATTTTTTATAATACAAATACTTTAATACTCCATGCATTTGGACCCAGGTATGTTTGGTCCTAAGGGTATTTGGAATGTATTTGGAAACAAGTAGGCTATTTGAAAAAAGTTTATAGGGAATTATTTTTAAACACTTTCAAATATCTTCAAATTGAGGTAGAATTCAGCCACATTATTTGAACATTCTCAAATACACAGAAAATAAGTATTTAAGATGCAAATACTTAAATACGCAGGTATTTATTCCCAGGTTAGCAGCTGAGACAGACTGATGAAGAGACCACTGTCTCTTCTGATAAGTCATGAAGGATCACTTACCTCTGGAGAGAAAGACAAGTGGACCTTGAGTTGAGAGGTAAGAGAGAAGGGTCTTCCCTGTTGAGAGGTGAGAGTGGAGAGTCTTCCCTGTTGAGAGGTGAGAGCGGAGAGTCTTCCCTGTTGAGAGGTGAGAGCGGAGAGTCTTCCCTGTTGAGAGGTGACAGTGAATGGCATTCCTTGTTGAGAGGTGACAGTGAAGGGTCTTCCCTGTTGAGAGGTGAGAGCGGAGAGTCTTCCCAGTGATGGTCAGAGCCTAATGAAGCTGTGAGAGGTGACCTTTTAAATACTATTCTGACCAGACCCGTGACATTGGAACTTCAGTCTCGCTCCCACTGCTCTGACCTTAACAATTGTAACACATAAACTAGTTATCAGCTGCTTTCAATATGTTCTGATAATAGACCCAGGTGGAGAGAGACATGAAACCCATCAAGTCATTATCAGCTGCTTTAAATATTATTGCTTTTAGGTCCTTTATTCTCCTCCATTTTAGATGGAGCGAGACATTATAGACAATATGTTGTCAACATCTACATGTCTGTTCAACTGCTCTCAAGTTCAAGTAAAACAACATATGTAATATTGTATATTTTGGGGGAATGATGCTTCTCATTAACATAGTGCCATGGTAACTTAGGTTACTGTATAACTGAACTTGTTGCAGGTTTCAATCTTAAATAAATTGTGAATAATTATTTAGAAATGAAAGGAATTCAAAACAAATGTCTCAAAATTACATGGATATTTCTGGTGTATAGGTAAGTTTAGAGCTTGCACTTTATTAGACAGGCGTTTTATTATAATTAGCAGACGGGGTAAAGGGCAGGAATGGGAGGGGAGGTTAGAATACAGAGGAACTGATAGACATACATGTACTTCCCTCTTTCTAACAGGTCACAGGAGATTGGCTTAATGCCAATGGGAGCGGACCAATGAGATGAGAGTTGATATCCACAGTGTGCATATCCAAATGAGAGTTACTAGACGTCTGAATGGAGAATGGAACATGTCATGATAACATTATTAAACACTTCTAGTAGTAAAACTCAACAGACATAAGATAATGAAATACTAGCAAGGTGATAAATGAATGAAGACATTTGATGAATATTTATTAAAATCAGACTTGTTGACGTAATGAACACAGCCTTCCATGCCGTAATTGAGGATACACCAGTACATTCTACTGTGGACTTAAGAGAATTGACGAGGTGAAGCCAAGGACTGTAGATGAAGGAACCAGGTGGTGGACCGTAGAGTTTGGGCTTAGAGTCTCGGTCGACATCATCATCAGCCCATGGTAGGCAGGCTGCTGTGGTGATGACAGTCCCCCTCAGGAGATGCTTGGAGGAACTTAAGCAATATGAGCTAATAGGTGGCGGTGGGATGCAATTCAGAACAGAGAGAAGGAACGTTAGTTTGGTCAGGTTTCAGTAGCAGTGGTGATTAAGGAGAGTGAGGACAGGTGTGGAGGATGATAAGCAATGAGTTACAGCTGGTGCTTATTGAGTTGCTGGACGAGCTACGTTCAAGGCAACTAGTTGAAATAGTTGTATTCAAGTCTGGTCCTATCTCCTGAACTTATGTAAATGTTTAACATTAAACACATTGTGATGCATTCTTTTCGAATTAAAGGAATTCAAAAAGTATATAAAAAAAAATAAAGATCTTTCTGGTGTCTGGGTGTAGATTCGGACCAAAACAATTAACTTGTAACTCGTTTCACTCTAGGGTCAAGAACACAGAGGAACTGATGAGAATACCTGACTCCTCCCCAGTGGTCACAGCTGATTGGCCTAATACCCATGAGACATGACTAATTAGATGAGGGTTGATACCCACAGTGTGCGTATGTATGCAAATGAGAAACATTACAGTACTGTAAATGGCTGAATTCCAGGCTGACTACATTGCAGACGCATGCCAGATCTCACAACGCTTGGATAGGTGTTTAACATATCAGCTACATACAGTATGATATAGCAATCTGTGGTCTATCTGGGTGTCTTCACTTTCGTTCAGACAAGTCTCCCCAGTAGCGCAGTGGTCTAAGGCACTGCATCTCAGTGTTAGAGGCGTCACTGCAGAACCTGGTTTGATTCCAGGCTGTTTCATGTGATTGGGAGTCCCATAGGGTGGTGCACAATTGTTCTAGTGTCGTCTGAGCCATCATTGTAAATAAGAATTTGTTCTTTACTGACTGCCTGGGTAAATTCAATAAAAAAGTCCTTGCAGCAAAATCTACACTTGAAAAATGATCGTAGTACTATAATCCAATAGCTTTTTTCAGAAGGGCAAAACACAAAGAACGGTACTGTATGTCTAGATATGTACTCACATTAAACATTGTTTGCCACTCATAAAATCAGGTGAAAAAGTATGTGAACCCCTGTACTGTTTTCACTTAATGTTGTTGTTATAAAGTCGGAAATGTGGCAAAATTTTTATTTATTTATATTGTCTGGTGATAGACACAACCTACTCCACTCTAACCCAAGTGGCAGAAAATGACATCGCTTTTTCTGAGGCTGCAATTCTTACTTTATCAGATATTTTTTGGATATGTGCCATCCCTATACTATTATGGCTGGTGAACTAAACAACAATATTCTGTAATTATATTTAGTTTTTAGAATTCCATTTTTATCTCACTACTGGGATAAAAATGGACGCCTCTATAGATGCAACGCCCCTGCTTTAGGTTCTCTCTCACGAGATCCCTGATAGTTGGTTGCATCATCTCTAGTCTTCTTTGAATAGATTTTTGTTTATAAACTAATCTTTATTAAATAGGTTATTCAATGTGCTTTTTTGCCTCTTTTGTATATTTTATTTTTTATCATTCAGTAATTAACATCACATCATTACATTGAGCTAGAAACATGACGTAGTAAACTCTTCTATATTTAATGTCGACCATGGGTCATGAGTACATGCATATTGTTAAACATTCAAATCCAACAAAAAACTGCCACAGATGAGAGAAGAGGTGATAGTGTTATTTCCCGTTTGAAAACTCTTAAGATTAACATAACATGAAACCTAACTATGTGTAGACATTCAGATGAGAAATTCTCCAGAAGTATGAATGGCCAGTCAAGGGCGACAAACGGTTTCAGTAGAATTGGTGGCTGTAAACCCAACTGAAAAAACGATAGCAAAATATGCAGGATGGTAAATTTAATAGCAGACAGTAGAAGGTCAAACACAGACATTTGTATAGCTAGTGAAATGAATAGCAGGCTTTTCAATAATGTGTGATAATACAGACAGTTGTATCTATAGTGAAATGAATAGCAGGCTTTTCCATAATGTGTGATATTGAAATCAGCCTCATGGCTCCAACTGACTTTACACACTTGGGCTGCATGCAGTATGTTAGATTACCGTGTCACAGTTAGAGCTCTTATCACCTCAATTACTATATATCTTCTGTTCATCAGCTCATTGTCCTATAGCCTGAGAGACAGTCCGTTTCTGCTTTCTTGACAACTCTTCATGGAAATCTTCAAATGTTTTGGGGCTTGACAGTGACATGGAAGCCCAACAGACTGGGACCAGGCTACATTGTCCTAGCACAAAAGGCAACAAGGAAGTCCTCAGTGCATCAACACATAACAGTAACAAATTAGTATCACAACTATACGGAGGGTGTTGACTTGATTTTTTGTTTGGGTTCCTTTTGAAAGTAATGATTAAAGAAGTAAAGAGTAAAGAGGAAAAACTCAGAAAAAGGGGAAAAAAGGGGAAAAAAAAAAGAAGAGAAAAAGGAAACGCGGGGGGGAGGAGAGAGAGAAGGGGAGGAGAGAGAAGAGAGAAAAGAGAAAAGGAGAGGAGAGGGGGGAGAGAGAGAGAGGAAGGAAGAAGGAAAAGGGAAAAAAGGGGGGACCCTTTTTTTTTCCCCCCCCTTTTTTTTCCGGGGCCCCCAAAAGGCCCCCGAAGAAGAGCCCCCCCTCCCTCTTTCCCTCTCTCTAAACCTCAAAATCCTCCCTTTTGTTCTTGGGTTTCCGCTATAAGGCCCCAAAAAGGGTTTGGATATTTAGGAATTTTTTGGAGGGGTTTCTGGCTTTTTTGGGTATTCCCGAAGAAATGAGGGGAAACCCAGCGTTTTTATTTTCCCTTCCGGGGCCGGGGGAAAAGAATGAATTATCCACTATCCTACCCAATACTGCCATGGCCCCAAGAAGGCAAACCTACTAAAAACCCTTTCCCTCTCTTATAGTGTAAAAAACCTCCCTCCCCCGTCTTTTCCCACCCCTGTGTTCTCTCCAGGCCAAAATTCACATTTTTATTTTCCCTCTGAAAAGGGCCCTTTTGGAAAAAGGGGTTTTTACCCCCCCCCCCCCCTTTTTTTTTTTTTTTTTAATCTTTTTTTTTTTTTTCGTTTTTTTTTTTTTTTGTTTGGCAGAAAAAAGAGAGAGACGAGAGAGAAAGGAGGGCGCGAGAGAGAGAGAGAGAAGAAGAAAAAGAGGAGACGAGGAGAGAGAAGAGAGCGAGAAAAAGGAAGGAGAGAGGCAGAGAGATATCGATAAAGGGGCCCCTTACCCCCTTTTTATCCCCCCCCCCCGTCTCCCTAACTCTTATTCTATCCTCTTTCCTTTTACCCTTCATTCGGTGAGCTCATCTTCTCTTGCTCTTCTCCTCTCTCTCTCGCTCTTCTGTTCCCTTCCACTTAAAACTTTCAAGGTTAGGAGATTTATCTGTGATTTATTTATGGTGGGGGGAAGAAGAGCGTGTTTCGTTGTGGGCCCTGTTGTTTAGCCGGAGTCTCCATCAGAACAGACTAGAAAGAAGAGGAGGGATAAGACACCGACTAATAGTTCATTAGGTTTTTTAAAGGAGGATGAAAGGCGAGACTGCATCCCCAGACAGAGTGGAAAACAACTCCACCACAAGGTAATGGCAGGCCCAAAGGGGAGGAAAAGGAAAGAAAATCACAATATAACCTCCATACTCTCGTTCTTATTTAATGACTCCTCTATCATCTCTCCCTCTTCTCTCTCTCTTCTCTCTTCTCTTTTCCTCTCTTTCTCTTTTGTCTCTCTTTCAATCCTTGTCTTCTTGTCTCTTTTTCTGTCGTCTCATGGTATGGTCTCTGTCTCGTCGTTTGTCTTCTCTCTATCTCTGGTCTCTTTTTTATCTTCTTCTTTTCTTCTTCCTCCTCTCTCTCTATCTCTCTCTCTTTATCTCTCTCTCTCTCTCTCTCT